AATCCAGTTCTTTAGACACTCCAGCCCCATGTCAAGTACTCAGAGGCCGCCTGTGGCTAATGATTACCCCACTGGACAGTGCAGAGGACAGACCCATCACCCCAGAGAGCTCTACTGGACAGTTCTGGTCTGGAAGCTATAAAGGCAGTGCCTGCCTCAGTTGTCCATCCCTAGACCTCCTCCCAGAGGCGATCCTGCTGCCAGTCTCCTTTGTGTCCCGACAGAGATGCTTTTCTGTCTACACAAGTGCTGGAAATCTCTTTTACTAAAACAAGTAATACCCTAAACACCATTTTGCCCCATGCTTTCCTCACTGAATGAACCTTGGAGTTCACAATACAAGTGCACACATAGTGCTTCATTCTTCTGAGTGTCCTCCAGCAATCCCGTCACTGGGACAACCGCCACCACTCCCGCCTTATAACCATGCTCCCAGCCTGTGTCCCCTTGTGTGGTGCCCACTTTCATGCTCCTCACAGTCTCCCCACCCTCATACTCTTTTCCGACTCTTCCCGTCTTCCTCCCGGTGAATTCCAAACCAGTTTCTCTGGCTTTCTCCCTCAACACTCCCAGGTACCCGCAGACTAAACCACCCACTCCTCCTCCTGTTGTTGCCCCCACCCCCTGACCCTCTCCTTCATTCACTGACAATATCAGCACCTGCCTCATGCCCTTTGTCTCCTCCCTAAATCCTTCAAACATCCCCTCAGTCCCACGTGGAGCATCCAGCCAACGCCTGGCCTTACACATGTCCCTGACCCTCTGTTTTCACCCCACCTCAGCCACCCACTCCCACCCTAAGGCCACGCAAGCAAATGAGCCGCCTGTGAAGTCCTGGTTTTCAGCATCCCCCTCTCAAATCATTCAAGATCAACAAGACTTCTAATCCATGGTGACTATTCACTAACCTTGTGTTGTCCTCCCAGCCTCCGTACTCAGCTTGAATAGTCTGGCACGTTCTTGGATCCCTCCCTTACAAATACACTTGCCTCCCTCTCCCCTCTCTAGTTCACTCACCTGTTGAAAACCCTGACCCTGGGTAAACCTGGTCTGCCCTCTCCACACACATATTCCCCACAAGAAGGTGACCAATCAAACTGGGAGCTTTTTAAAATAAATAACATTGGTAGGATTAAAAAATTGAGTAACTTCTATAGAAAATAGTACGGAGATTCCTCAAAAAATGAAAAGTAGTACTATCATTTGACCCAGCAATCCCACTTCTGGGTCTATATCCGAAAGGATTGAAAGCGGGGTCATGAAGAAATACTGGCACACCCTTGTTCGTAGCAATATTATTCACAGTAGCTAAAGTGGAGACAACCCAAATGTCTATCAACAGATGAATGGATAGACAAAATGTGGTATATACATACATAACTACAGTGAAGTATTATATAGCCTTAAAAAGGAAAGGAATTTTGACACATGCTACAATGTGGGTGAACCTCGAGGACATTATGCTAAGCGAACCAGGCCAGTCACTAACAGACAAATACTGCACAATTCCTCTATATGAGGTGCATAGAGTAGTCAAAGCCCTAGAAACAGGGTGGAATGGCGGTTGCCAAGGGATGGGGAAAGGGTCACAGGGAGTTGTGTAATGAGTGCAGGGTTTTAGTTTTACAAGATGGAAAGGTTCTGGAGATCTTTCACAACAGTGTGAATATATTGACACTACTGAACTGTACCCTTTGCTTAAGATGCTAAATTTAACGTTGTGTTTTCCCACAGTAACAGAGTATAAAACGGAATGAAGCTGTTGGGTGGGCTCCACTCAGTGGTGCTGAAGGCACACTCTCTCCTCTGAGCACCGAACACCCCGCCCCACACAGCGTGCGGGTGGCAAGGCTAGGGCGCGGCCTATCCTCCCTGCACTGGCAATGCCACGCCTGATATTCACTCTGAACCTTAGCGTCAACGTAGGAAAAATTAGAAGAATTAACTAAGGACCAGTTGGGTATTTCCCCATTCTCTCAAGTATTATTCTCCAGCAAGTAACTGAAATCCAATAGCTTTCCTAGCTCTGCCTCTCATGATTCATTCATGCTCATTTCTATGGATACATCAGTTTCTCAGCTGGCAGTGATTTCATGAATTTTTAATTTACAAGGAATGAGCCAGAGATTAAAACTTTAAACTAAGCCAACAATAGAGGGTTGTGAGTGTCGTTTCAATCCCTAGATTAAGAATCTCTGAATGAATTCACTGGCATCCTCACATGAACCACTATCTGGAAATTATCAAAACAACTCCTCTGTGAGTTTTTGCCTTTGGAGTATTAATATAGGTACACATATCTGCTTTGGCCTGGCTATGCGGCTCACTGGTTTAACATCGACCTGTGAACTGAGAGGCCAAGATTGGATTCCTGGTCGGGGCACATGCCCGGGTTTGGGCTCAGTCCTCCATGGGGGGGGGAGGGGCGGTGCAGGAGGCACCCAATCAATGATTCTCTCTCATCATTGATGTTTTTATCTCTCCCTCTGCCTTCCCCTTTCTGAAATCAATAAAAACATATTTAAAAAAAATAAAACAATGCTTCCTGATGGTTCCTTCCTCTTTAAAAAAAATAGTACCAGCTTTGGGATCATTAAAAACAGTGAAACCAAAGACATTTCTTGTTATCAATCTTAATCTTGGAAAAACTCCAGGCCACCTGGCGAACAGTCACCAAGATCCCAGCACCATAGAAAAGCCACAGCAATGTGCAGCTTTATGACTAATAGGTAAGAAACTGATTTTAGCATAAATAAAATCAGATTAAAATAAGCAAGTTAGATGAGAAACTATGTCAAAATATAATCCATATTTTAAAAATTATTAATAAAATGTTGACATTCTTTTTTTTTCCTACATCTTTGGAATGTGGTATATATTTTATACTTACAACATCCCTCAGTACGAGACACAAATAAGTGCTAGAACGGCCACTAGTGGCTACTGTCTTGGACGGTGCAACCACAGAACAAAGAAATATGTTCTGACAGGACAGGGACTAGCTCTTGCAATCTGGGCATATCTCCAGGCTTCTGCACTCTCCAGCTCTCCAGCGTGCTCCCACGGTCTCCCTCAGTGACAGCCAGCAACAGCTGGGAGGACACAGCTGCTCCTTGGGCTAGAGCAGCGTTAGTTCAACTGTGGTCATTAAGGTAACAACATTTCAAATTTTACAAAATCAGTTTACTACCATTGTTTCCTTAAATTTTTTCAACCACAGATGGACTCACCTTTTTCAAAATTAACCTTACCCTAAGCCAGCCGTGGGCAAACTACGGCCTGCGGGCCGGATCCGGCTCGTTTGAAATGAATAAAACTATTGGAAAAAAAAAAAAGACCGCACCCTTTTATGTAATGATGTTTACTTTGAATTTATATTAGTGCACACAAACCCTCCATCCATGCTTTTGTTCCGGCCCTCCGGTCCAGTTTAAGAACCCATTGAGGCCCTCGAGTCAAAAAGTTTGCCCACCCCTGCCCTAAGCAATGTCATATGATGTCACAAATTTGACCATTTTTAATTATATTTGTTGAAAAAGCTAAAACACATTAAGTATTTAACACTTAAAAGATGTTTTGTGCTCCACCTAAAGCCAACAATGAACTAAACTAAAATTCATCCTCATTAGCGAATCAGTCATGGCGTCATCTCTCCAAAGCTTTCCGTTTGGCACATGGGATGTGAGATGATTACTTTCAAGTCTGCTGGCACCCACCATTTGGACCCCGACCTTTGCATGTTTGAGTCTGACAGAGCATCCCTACCAAGAGTACCTTTAGGCTAGGGAACCGTCACAAACCACAGCCAGGGGCCCTCATTCCTGTGTACAGTGGGGCCTTGACTTATGAGTTTAATTCGTTTCGAGTCCGAACTCGTTAAGGAGCTTGTTAAGGATCTCGTTAACTCAAATTACTCTATCAACTCAATGCAAAAAATCCACCGAGAGACAGCTGGTATCTCAAAAAACTCGTTAGTCAGGACACTCGTAAGTCAAGGCCCCACTGTACTTAGCTGCTCAAAACCTGCCGAGGTCGGGTAAAACTCTTGCCCTAATGACCAGTGGGGCTCAGGCTCAGGGGAGAACCCTTAATAATTAATAATCGTGGCAGCTAAGGTTTACTGAACTACATGCCAAGCACTGTTCCAAAGCCTGTGAGTGTATGTGTGTGTGCGTATGTGCGTACATGTGTGTGCGTGCATGCGTGTGCATGCATGTGTGTGTGCCATACTATGATGATTATATCTCACTCATATAGTGTCACAATAACCCTAATGAAGAAAGTATTGTTTTGCTGCTTTTCTGGACGAGGAAACGAGGCACAGGGCAGCTAGTAGTTTCCCACAGTCACAGAGGTAACACGTGGGGGAGCTGAGATTCAAAGCCACGAAAGCTCACTCTGGAGCCCGTGCTGTTGTCGCCCTGAAGATTCCAAATGGGATAAAGAAATGGGAGCTGGGAAAGACACACGTTTTATGGCCACAAACACAAATCCCTCAAAGTCAACACTATCCCCCGCAGGACACGGAGACTGAGGCAAGCAATATCCTCTGATAAGACATTAGGCAGACAAGTAGAATAAGTTATAATGCCCTCAAGACGTCTTCTGAAAATCACCCTGGGAACTCATTGTACTCAGAAAAGAAGACAAAAGCGTGACAATTCAAGGGAGCAAAGAATCCAATAACAAGAGAAAGCGGATGGAAGGATAGGCAGATGGATGGATGGATGGATGGATGGATGGATGGATGGATGGATAGACAGACAAATGAGCACACAGATGTTCACTCCAAACTCAAAAGCAGAGAGTATTATAAAGGGACACCCATCGCGCTGACCACTGCAGAGGGGCCCATCATATGGCTGACATCACACCAGCCAGCCATTCTCAAAGGCAAATCGGGACCTTATGCTTGTCACCGGGGCCAAAGCTGCAGGGTAAGCTGTGCTGCAGCCTCACTGCAGGGACGCTGCAACCCAGAGGAAGGCGAAGTCACTTACAGGTACTCCCTGTGGGCAGAGTGCACGGCGGCCGCGTTGCTGTAGCGCCACAGGACGATCGCCGACGACAGGACATCGAGGACGGCATCAAACTAGGAGAAGGAGACATGGCATTAGTGCTTTTCCTGAGTTAACAGGACAGGGCTGAAGACACAAAGCAACGATTCTGTGACTCAGAACATCTGAGCAAGTGACCTCAGAGCCAACAGTGGGCCTGGGCACCCCACACGCCAGCTCCTCCTCCTCAGATTCTGCACTGCTCCCCAGGCCTGGGAAACATGCTTCGTGGCGTGGGGGGTCTGCCCCCAGCCTGGCTGCCAGCACTCTGCAGATATGGGGGAGCACACGGGTCTGACCCCTGAAATTGGTTTCCCCACAGCAAGCAAGAGCATCTCAGCATTTCACCGTGTACCCCAAGTACAATATTCAGGGGGAGGAATCTGTTTCTGGCTTTCAATGGGATTATTCTACGTGGGGGCCAAGGGGAGGGTGGTCACCCAAGGGCCCTGTGCTGTCTGCAAACACTTTGAAATTGTATATACAATTCAGTGCTTTTGTTTGAATGAATGAGTGAATGTGTGAGGGAGGAGAGGGAGGTGAAGGAAGAGGAAGAGAGCACTGTAAGAACAACAGTGAGAATATGTGTGAGCATGTGTGTGTGTGTTGTGTATGTTTTGTGTGAGAATGTGTTGTGTATGTGTGTTGTGTGTGCATGTATGTGCTGTGTGTGTATTTCTGGACAGACAGTGCACTCCTTCTAAAGATTCTGAAAAGGTCTGCAACCCCCAAAACCTTAAGTTTTCACAACAAAAGGAAGAAGTGGGTCTGTGGGCAGGAACACCTACCCTGCAGCACAGGGAACCCACAGCTGCGCAGGAGGGGTGTTTACAAGCGTTCTCCTGGAGTCACTCTGCCTCAGCACCCCTCTCACCTGGAAAGTTACAAGCACCCGGAGGGGACGTGGGGCAGCTCCACGCAGTGCTCGGCATGCCCAGCCCATGAGACACCTGAGACCGTTTTCTCTCAGCAGCTCCCATGAGGAAGCAGGCGGGGTTCAGGCTCCCCAGGTCAGGCTCCCCGGTCCGGCTGCAGGCGGACTGATCCTAGCAGCAGCAGCACCTGACGCCCTCACCTCTGCCTGCACAGCAAAGCCTTCGCTCCCGCGTGTGCCATTGTCCACCTAACAGCCTTGGGGGGAAAGGACTAACACCCTAAAATACCCTCGCAACCAGCTGTGGGAAATGTGGTCCCCTCTCTGTTCTGGAGGATTATGCAGCTTCCTTGCAGTTCACTTCTGCTGAATGCTAATCCGCCTAGAAGCGATCTCCATAGATGGTGTGCTTGTCATGCGAAGCTCTCATCTGCTAACCACCCTCTCCTTGAGAGCCCAGGTGAGACCCATGGGCTCAGGGAAAACGTGCACAACTTCATAAAAGTACATTTCAGGTTACTTACTGCAAACCCAAAAGCAGAGGCGCTGTACCTCATAACGGAGACAGCTAAAAAGAAAGAAAATATTATTCAGAATATTTCAAGACCTCATGGATATGTTCTCTCATTCATGAGTCTATTAACACATTTGATCTGCCCTTTTAAACATCAATGGTAAAGTTCCAAGAGAATAAAGTTAAAAGTTAACTGTGGCTGTAAACTCCAAGAACTAAAAAGTGCAAAGAGTGAGAAGAGACTCCAGACTCCGCCTGCAATGGCGTCCCTCCCAGTGTGCTCTGAGAGCCGAGGGACCAGTTTCAGAGTGAAAATGCTTAAGTGGTTGTCAGTCAAATGACCACTGAGACTTGGAGAATTTGGCAACTGGGATAGAGAGCTGGGGACTATATTAAACTTTCAAAGTAAAAGTGCAATCACCCAAACTGTTCCCCTAATAAAGTAACTGGTGGTTTCTCCATGCACGTGCCCTTGCCCATCAGAGTTTAAATCTAGTGTAGACCTCAACAAAACTGCTTGGGAAAATGATAACAAATGATCTTAAGTGACAGATGTCTACAAATATAGACGTAACAATTATAATTAAAGCATTTATCTGCATTCGAAACTTTTTTTTTTTTTGGGGGGGGGGGGTAAATCAATTAGGTAGCACTTTTGCCGAATTCTGTGATCTGTTCTCTGCCCAACCAATGTTCAGCTTCAAAGACTGGTCTCAATTTAACTTAATAATGGCAGTTCTCAATATTTAACAAGCATAAGTCCACCCTCCAATGAAAATGAAACTCTACCCGATGGGTCAGCAGAGCTATGGAGGGGACTGTCCCGGCCCAGGCGTTGTAAGTGCTCACCGGGGAGTAAGAGACGTGTGGGTGCAGGACACAGAGGTCAGGGCTCCCACTCAGCTCACCACGTGTCCCTTCTCGGGACCCGCTCTCTCGTCCACCCATAGGCCAAAATGAGTCCTGGACAGCCCTGCTCTCCTTTGTACCTCTGCCCCGAGCACAAGGGGGTCGCCTGACCCAATGTGAAGCAAGCTTATTTCATTGTCTGTGAGTCAGGAATTGAGACGGAGACAGTCTAGTTGGTTAAGTGATGTTGCAGGAATTGAAACTTGCAATCACTGGACCTGGGGTTGGCAGTGTTTTGCCATCAGGACTGAGGAGCAGAGAGAGAAGCACTGGTACAGTTCCCAAGCCCTTTCTGAGACTCAACCACTGCCCGGTCCTTGGGCTGTGGAGTGCTGCCCATTACATTCCTGACCCTCTGTTTCTGACAGGGGCTGCTCCAGTTGTCCCTGCTGGTGCACGTGCTGGCACAGAGAGAAGGGCAGAGGCAGGTGCGTGCAGTGACCAACAGTAACTCCCACAGGCAACAGAGGGGCAGTGCCAGGGGCACCAGACCTTCCCGAAGAGCTCAATCTACAGGCCACGTGGGCATGTGAGCAACAGGCAGCAGACCCTCAGGGGGTCACCCTGAGCCCCCCGGCAGCAGGAGCTCAGTAACTGTTCATCAAACTGTTAACTGACTCTTATAGAAACAAGTCAAAATGAGTACCTGGTTTTTCCTTTACAACCTGTTTTAGAACATCTACGTTCTGTGCTTTTTTTTTCTCAGTTACTCGTTTATCAGCAGTGGGAACCTTTTGAACGTCTATAGCATCTTCCACAGATGCTGGACGTACACAATGGATGAGGAAGAGCCGCCCGTGGAGCTCCTGCTCTGTCTCCCCCTATGCTGCTCGCCTGGGCCCCACTGCACGAGGGCACAGCCAGAAGAGCACTCCCTCACCTGCGCTCCAGGCACTGAACCATCACTCTAAGAGTTGAACTGAATTACCTGGTGACACCACACATGTACACAGTGGGCTAGAGACTTCAGAGGTGCACACCCACTCGGTTATACAGAGAAAACAAGGACCCAGGTTTCAGAGTCTCTGGACTCCAGCAAAGGAGCTGGTCGTTCTGTTGTGGC